GATCGATGAAGAAAACGAACCACAACAAAAAAGGCCTAAAATTGATTAGATTTTAACAATTATTTTATTGATTTTTCTTTTTATAAGCTATACATAACCAATATTAATAAAGTAAATATTTGTAAATAAATTAAAGAATTCATAGCCAATATAAATAAATTGTATGTTGTATTTTATCATATGTATTTAGAATAATTGAATATGCATATAAAGTTTTCGAAACTTAACTGTAGCTTATAAAAATTAATAAAGTACTATTCATTTCCATGTAAATGTTAAGTTTCATGAAGTTTTCCCTACCTTGCCGTGATGAAATTCATTCAACTTTATTTATTTTATACCAAAGTAAGTTTTTTCATTAAAATATTATGAATTATTAACATAGATATGCTAAAAAATTTAAAATAACGGAAAAAATCGAGAAATTCGAGATTCGATTTTTATTTTAAGCTGTTAATGACAATAAATCATTAACATTGACGTACCATTTGAAATTAGACATCTCGACGAAAAAAATGAGCACTAGTAGAACATCAAAATCCAAAAAAAAATCTATAAAGTTGTTCGCCCAAGATAGGGGTGTTTTTCCGGAAAAATGGTAAAATCTCGAAAAATACTTATTTCCCATAATTGAAAAAATTCATGCTTATTATATGCACATAATTACGTACTTTCATAAAGTTTCATTTAAATTAAATAATTTTGACGCGAGAAAAAAAATAAAAACAGAAAAATCGGTTTTTCCTCATTTTGTTGCCAACTTTGAGGTTATGTTGAAAAATATATGGAATAAAAGTTTTATATTTTTTTATTATCTACAACTTTTATATAAAACACTTTTCTCTAGGAGGTCACGCTTCGCCACAAATCACGAAAAACGGTTTTTATCCCTTAAATAGCACCCCCATTTCACTACTTCCCTTCATCTCAAGTTCCAAAGTTTTTTTTTTCGTTTTTTATGACCTTAACTATATATTCCAGCCGGCCGTTGCCTGCTATTAATTTTTTCATCTCAAAAAAGGTAACGGCCCCAGCCTATAGTGGTTTGTGTCTTTTTTTGAGCCTCAAACTTTTAAGTTGCATTGAAAATTTGTTATTTTCAGAACGATAAAAGTGTTGTATGCCAATAAAAATGCCAAAATAATTAAACAGCTACTGCAAAGAGTTAGTAGCATCTTTGACATGTTATTTTGAAAAAGAACGAGGCAATAATGATCCATTGCTACACTCAACAGTTGTTAGAAAGGTAATTTAAATATAAAATTAAAATATTTGGTTAAAACTACGGTACAATATATTGTTTTAGCGTGTAGCCGCAGCCATAAACTTGAATGTTTCTACGGTTAAATATATTTCACAAAAGGCAAACAACTTTTAAAATCACCTAGAAAGCGTTATCCTACCAAGAGGGTTACAAATACTGTTGCACCGAATACAGACGCTATTCATAACATTCGTAATAATTAATATTTCTGTACAAAAAACTACACTGCTCTATTTGTAACAGAATGGTGTTTGTGACAAAATCTTAATTATATATAATTTTGTTTACATATTTTTTAAAAAATTTCAAAACTTCCGTGTGTGGCACACACATTTTTATTTATTTTATTTTTTTATTTTATTAATTAACTAATTTTTCTTCCCATGAAAACAATCTTTACTAACCTTTATTTTTTCCTGCTCTTTTTTTGTAGTTGCAAATTTGTGCACAAACCAATATCTTTTCTTTCAACACAATGATTCTTTTCAATACAAAGAATCCATCCATATGGTAGTCAAAATTATTTCTAAATACTGAATAATTTTATAACAACCTGGCATCAGTGCGCTATAGAAATTAACATGTATTTGATGATGTGTGTTAATTTAATCTCACTATAAACAAGAAAGATGGAAATAGCAGTTATGTCAAAGCTCGAAGCGAAATTTTGTTGTTGTCAAGCTTTTAAAGTGGATGTTACAATAATTGTAAAATACATAATGGAATTCAATTTTAATGAATTAAGAGCCTTGTTTCATTTTAAATTTATTTAATAAATGACATTATTTAATAGTTATTCATTTCGACCATTTTGGCCGGTCGGTAAAATGTTTCCTAAATTTTTTAATAGCAAACTGGAAGCGTCAATCGTCAATCAAAGATTGAGTGGCAGAGCCACAGTAAGGACAAAACAAAATGTTGAAATGCAAGTGATAACGGACAATCCAAGAATATCAATTAGCCATTAATCAACAAGTGAATCTGCCCTGTACAGCGTGTTAATGAATTTTAAAACATGATTTGGAGCTCCATGCATATCGTCTTCAATCCCCATGTGCAATTGTCAGTACGGACAGAACCTCCGAGACTATAGTTCCGCCAATGGTTTATTAAATATTTTAACAATAATGATGCTGTTTTCGAAAAAAAAAATGTTCTTTGCTGACAAGGCTTGGTTCTATTTTTCGAGCTACATTAACTCTCAGAATATGAGACTTTGGAGTGCAGACAACCCTCACTTTTATATTGAAACTCCACTACACCCACAAAAAAATTGTAGTGAGGGCAGCTTTGAGCGGAAGGAGGATTGTTGGACATATTTTTTTACGGAATACTGAATCCAGAGAGACACCGTTTTCAACACCTTTTGTACAAATGTTAGATAACGACGTGCAAGAATGTTACATTCAACAAGACGCAGTTTAGTTTGAACACGCAGACCGTATTACCCCCTACATGTTGCGATTTGACACCCTGTGATTTTTTCTGTGGACTTATCTAAAAATATCAATTTTATAAATTTCCCTTGGCGATATGAAAGACCTTCAGCAACGCATTGTCAATAAAATTAAAGAAATTAATGGATTATCGTGGAAAACTTAAAATTCTTAGTCTATAGAAAGATAAAAAAAATAAAAAGTTAAATGGACAAATAGTATTTTTAAAAGTATTTTTGCTCGGCTAATTTTGATGACGTTTTTTAAAGTCTCGTTATTAGCTTTGCACCGACAATAAGTTGATGAACTTCTTCAACTTCAAATTATTTTGATTAAATACATTTGTGAACTGCGGTCCAACCGCCTAGTTTGTTTTACACTAAATTAAATTTCCATATGGTGACTGAATCGTCAATTATACTATTTATAGGTGATTTACAGTTTGAGTTGTGTTAGCTCCACTGAATTGACAGAATTTGAGTCAATAAATTGGACGAAAATAGGAATGGCTCTAATTTGTAAAAAAAATTACTGGTGAACGTATTGACGGCATTTGAAATAAAATTCCTGATTTACGTCTGTCAAATTGTCCTTAAATGTCCTGATGAATTAACTTATCAATTTATTTATTATCGATGTAAAGCTAATATTAGATGAGACTGACACTCTTTGGTAGTGATTATTAGTGAAGGGTTTATATTGTCACCTCAGTTATTAGCCACTAGAAGGGGATTACCTGACCACTTAGCAATCTTGATAACTCATCCCAGTTCTGGTGGCAATCGGCAGTCCATCTAATGATGCCATGATTGCCTAATGATGGACTCATTATCATTCTAACATGAATTCATCATGGTGTCTATTTCTATTCAGATATGTGTTTATGAGTTTTGAAATATGGGTAGGTACTGTCTATCACTGAAGGAAAATATGGTTCATGATTACCACTGACAATAATATTTTTTATATTCTATAAAATGTAATGTAGGTACAATCATAAATATCCTTCACATCCTGTGAAAAAGAGAAAATAAATACATCCTGGCTGGTTTCCTTAAGTCAGTGTCAACAGGAAAAAGTTGAAAGTGATTTTAAGAAAATATTTTAATCTCAAGATTTCCATGTTTATACTATTTTATTATTATTTTATGAGTAGATAAAATGCAATCAATTATAAGACCTATACCTATACATATGTATGTCAATTTATGGAAATCCAACTCCAAATTTGTCAGCCTTCCGCCAATCGACAAACACAGTAATCAGGTTGACGGAGTCATTAATTTCGTTTGCAGAATTGACAAAATTAATCGTATCTGGCCGCGATATCGCATAGCAATGCACGTCAATCAATCGTTGGTCGGCTCCTATTATGTGTACTAGGCCTTTAACCTTTTGCTGCAATACAGGGCCGCAGCTATATATGTATAAATAAAAGTGGAATAACAACTACGGTGCCGCGGCTAAGAATATGAAGCCCCTGCCTGTTTTGGAGACCGTCTTATTTCCGTATCTAAGGATGTGCCGAAGGCCATTGAAACTTGGAACCTGTGGGAATTAGATTAGCAGTATTCGCTAGAAGGAAAAATTTACGGATCTGGACGAAAACAAGGCGGGCACGATCAGGTTATTGAATGGCGTACAAAGGCTCGCATTCATGTGCATCACAGATACTATGAGAAATAAAACGGCTGTAATTTAAAGCCCACAGCTGCGAAATGGAAATTCGTCTAAGAAAATATGCAACAGTCTTTCATCGATTTGTGTGATATCGAAGTGAAGTCGAATTGATGTGATATAGGAGACACCATGCAGAATCTGTCTGGAACAATAAAAAATATTTAGGTTTCAAATTCTGGAAAAGGAAAATCCAAAAGCTAACAGTTACACAAAAGCTGGATAAGGTACTTTAACCCCTTTGTGAGTGCTATAATAGACCTCAAAAGGTCGCGGTGGCTATATGACTTTCTCCTACAGGTTTAATATCAATCTGAAATCATCTACCGAGGATTATACACTATATTTATGAATACTCTGAAACTAACAGTGCTAAGTGATAAATTAAGGACAACTAACGACACTAATGCTATTATATTGCGATAGAATAGATTTAATTGAAAGATAGATTTTTCGATATACAAAGTTGTATGGACAAAGCATATACGATCCAATGAAAAATCTATCTGGCGGATATTAGTTGTGCTGTACTTTACACTTTAAATTAACTCAGCATACCCCTTGAGTACATCAGCGCAGTGGTGGCCGTTGGATAAACTTTTTGATTGTTATTTTTGATTACCGCGGCGATAGCTCAGTGGGTGAGTAGATGGAGATTACTCCGAGAGCTATTATCCGCGCGGGTTCGAATCCCGCCTGTGGCAATTGACACCTGTCACAGGGTTTGGTTGTGTGTCCTAAGTCTTTTCCATGTGTATTCTCCCTCTGCACAGTTGCAATGACTCTTAGAGGGAGAATGTCAATTTCTGTGGTGTGATTTATTTATTATTTATTATTATATTTGACACTGACGTACCGAACCTAACTACGGCCCTGTGATGCACCAAATAGTTAGTACTCCAATATGTACATTTGGTATTCTCGGGCCGCTAGAGCGGTGTCCCAGCAATTACAAAAAATAAAATAATCCTGGCTAATCCATCCGTCGGAAAGACGGAAAAGCTGGTATTACGCCGTAATTGAAATATATGGGCGTTGCTCGCTAATTACCCGGTGTAAAATTATTGTTAGATATTTAATTATTACGTTGCCGTACTGTGTTATTAGCAAATGGGCACTCCCGTGTACGAGGGACTGCCAACAGTTATAAGAAACCTTTCTTATAATTGTTGGCGCGTGGTAAACACAGAAGAAGGAAGAGTAGGTGAAGATGCTTGTTAATTTGCTAATATTTAAAAGAAAACAAATCATCGTACTCACATTTAAGTACTTTTTGTTCCATATAATATTAAAACAAATATTAAAATTCCAAAATCCAGAAACAATCACACTTTCTTATAAGTACTTTTTGTTACATTCTTCTTATTTTGAACCAAAGATTAAAACTTTTTCAGATTTAAGTTTTAGTAGCAGAACTGAAATCAACATGAACGTAAAAGTTATGGTGTGCTTTGACATTTATAAAAACGAGATTCGATATCAACAAGGCGTTGCATCAACGTCTAATAGTAGATTAGGAGTAAATTTTGCGTTGTATCATGTGACCTGTGTGTCCAAATGGTCCTTGTGTCCAAAAGGGCAATGCAGTTTCCACGTCGCAGATAGGTGGATCGTTTTTAAAAAGTGTACCAATAACATTGCGATGCCACCGAAAATGTTAGATACGTTCTAGCAATCAGATTCAGCAGTCAGATGCACTCTCCTGATGAGCTTCGTACCAAGGAAAACCGTTTTCTACTTACTTGACCCTAATGGTGTTTGCACTTTACTGCTTCAGATTGACTGCTGAAATTGATTGTTAGAAGGTATCTAACATTTTTGATAGCATCACATTGATTAAATATTGATAATTTTTTTAGAATCGATCCAGTTATCTGCGACGAGGAATCTAGGAATCAAGGAAGTGTTTTTTAATTCAAGTTTTCAAAGAATATTCGCTCTTAAATTCTGTATCTACTTTTTGGTAGGGAATGATCTACTACATAACTACATATTTAGATTATGTCAATTTATTTTCTGATCAAAAAATAGAAATACTTTTCCTGCGCTCCCAGTACATGGCGACCGGTCACAGAATAACAGACCAGAAAATAATAAAACTGTAATACGACTAATGCTTGAACAAAGAGTACATTATTTCTATATGCGTTTTTATTATTATATGATGTACAGAGAATTGTAATGCGAATTCATTTCTTTTAATTAATGCTGTTATTCAGAGTTCATCATCTCGTACGCGGTCATAACAACGTAATCACTGCAATCTTTCGATATTATTTCTTATCGTGAGATCTCAGTGTGAATGAACAAGCGCATATTCTACTGAAATGTAAGACTTTCTCTGTATTGTATACTTTGATATAAGTTTTCACCACTTCCTCATTTAATTTTTCCATAATTAATCAGGCTAAATCTCTAAAAAGAGTAGTTTGTATTTTTAAAAGTGGTAAATTTGGATTTAACCTTCATGGCCTTTATGACCTTTGTAGTCTTTATGAAATATATTGCCTTTATGATATGACCTCTGTTGATTTTGATGACCTTCATGACCTACATGACCTTTATGATTTGTATCATCAATACGATCTGTATGATTAATATGACCTTTATGACCAATACAGTTATGGCCTATAGGACCTTTATGATTTTTATGAGTTGTAAGACCTATATGGTTAAAATGACTTGTATGACATATAGGTCAAAAGTACTGACAATAGTCATAATAGTAAAATTGAGAGTAGAGGCTTATTAAAATGATATTTGAATTAATCTACTTCAAAAATTAAATGGCATGTCACATGAATATCTTTCATAATTCATATTAAAATACAACCCCCCTTGCCCCCACCTCTAAAATAGGGACAACAAATAACGCCATCACCAAAATAAACTTATGATTAAGCTTGGCCACACATTTATGTTTCCACATTTTTAATAATTCCCGTACATTTTGATTTAGTTCCCTCCGTATATCCTGCGGGGGAGGGGGGTTGTCAAAGAGAAGTAACATTTTTTTAGAGCTCGTCCACTGTGTAATTACTAAAATTAGTGTTAAAAAAGTTTATTTGACCTTATTAAACTTTTATATTTGCTTATTAAACTAAAAACCTTTATATTTCCAGACTGTCTTATATTGTATATACATACGCCCAGGCTCATAATAGTTCGGCCGGCAAACATTTCTAGCTATATGATTGAACATAATGTGAAATCTATTTCATAGATAAAATATTTTGTCAAAATTATTTCAGCTGCTTTAAAATATACAAGTTTAACTTGCAAACACTGAAAATTATAATCAAATTACATAATAAACAATATTTATTTAACACAAAAATAACAACCAGCTGATGGGTCAGAATAGTTTTTTTACTGGCCGCCTTTTAATATTGTGTTACGTCGCCTCTGTTAGCAATAACTGCTTTTATTCTACTGGGCATTGTGTCTACAAGTCTTGCACACTCTCCTGGACGTACATTATCCCATATGTTTTGCAAGGTCGCTTTTAATTCAAGTACCGTACGTGCTGGATTTTTCTGAAGTTCTTTCTTCATGTTATGCCAAAGTGTCTCAATTGGAGACAAGTCTGGACTAGAAGATGTCCATTTTAGCGTAGGAATATTATCTTCCTGAAACCACTTCGTAACTGATTTTGCTATATGGCAAGGTGCATTATCTTGTTGGAAGATAAAGTTATCTTCTTCGGTTGTGCATTTCGCGATGGATGGCAATAAACTTTCTTCCAGAATCTCTCTGTATTTATTCGCGTTGACAGTCCCTTCAAGAACATATACGTTTCCTACGCCTACGCCGACATACAACCCCATATCATGACTGAGGCTGGGAACTTAACTTTTCTAACTAGGCACTCATTGTGATAAGCCTCACCAAACGTACTCAAAACTCTTTTGCGGGAGTCTCCCACACAAACGTCAAATTTGGACTCATCACTCCAAATTACATTATGCCATTGTCTTTGAGTCCAATTTTAATGTTCCCAGCCCATTTCGAGTCTATTGCCCATTTCAGTCTATTGCGTTTTTGCAATTTTGTTAATAATGGCTTTTCTTTTGCCTGTTGAAAATAAAAAGTTACCGTCTAACAAATTCTATCCAAAAAAAAAAATGTAGAAGAAATGTACCTTATAAAATTTGTATCCTATTTTCCTTATAGTTCTCTTTGTTGTAGATAATGAAACATCTTTGTTTATACTATCCCTCCATAAAACAGTTATTTCTTTGGTATTAAATCGCCGATTTGTTTTTACAATTCTTCGCAAAGCTCTTTTATTTGCTTTCGTAATTTTAGATGGTTGGCCGGTTTTGGTTTTCTGATTGACTCCGCCAGTTGCTTTATACAAATTAATAATATCTTGAATAGTAGAACGCGGTACTGAGTGCGAAACTGAGATCCGACGTGCCGAAATGCCATTTTTATAGGCCTTAATAATTGATAATCGAAGATCTTCACTTAAAGGTTTTCCTCGAGGCATTCTGCTTTAAAAATGAATTATAACTAATTTTGACAACTGTCTTGTTGATTTATTTAATAAGGGTTTTGTTTTAGCTAGCGTAGTCATTTTCATGGCAATTACGATAAGTGGCCGAACTATTCTGACCCATCAGCTGGTTGTTATTTTTGTGTTAAATAAATATTGTTTATTATGTAATTTCATTATAATTTTCAGTATTTGCAAGTTAAACTTGTGTATTTTAAAGTAGTTGAAATAATTTTGACAAAATATTTTATATATGAAATAGATTTCACATTATGTTCAATCACATAGTTAGAAATGTTTACCGGCCGAACTATTATGAGCCTATTTGATATATATATGAATATATATCAAATTTGAAGTGTATATCTTGTGTCGTTTGCAAACTACCTGTAGACAAAGGAAAATTGTATTACCACCAATAATCCCCCAACCCCTTAACTGATTAAGATAAAAAGCTAATCAGCTCCAGATCTCATCAGTATACATACGTTTTTCAAATTTCAAGTTGATATCTCAAAGCGTTCTCAAGATATCATGCACACAAGAAAGGTTAATAGACCGAAAGATCTACAAAGAGAGAGAATTTTTTTTAAACATTTTAGGTCTGTTTAGCCCATAAAAATTTTTCAACGGTACCATACTTCCACTTCACTAGATGGATGTGGTAGTAAAGATATGCGTAATAGCAAAAAAAAAAAAAAAAAGGAACGCGAAAATATTAAAAAAAAATGTTTGCTCTAGCAGAAAGTCTTGGAAAAGGCTTATAGGCTTTTTGATTTTTTTTCTTAATCGTCAAGGAAATACAAAGACTTTTTATTGTTGTGACTTTGTTTAAATTTATGGTATCTGTTATATCTGTAAATTCAAAGTGATCTGCTTGATGAAAAGATAACTGATCCAACAATAATTGAGAGTAATTCTCGATTTTCAACGAAAAACAATTTAAAGATGTTGCTGTCGAGTAAAACACATTTTAAGCCCTTTTTATGACTTGATATAGGCTTTTTTTATAATCGAAGCAAGGGATCAGTATTTAATTTTAGTTATTGTTATTGTTGTTAATTTAGATAAACTTAATATTACCAAATCCCGCTACAGCCTATCTGATTTAGAAACATAACGGCTAATAGCTACATGCAAAGATAAAAATAATCACCAACCAATAATTAACTGGTGCTATTTCAGCTTTTAATACCAATTTGGAGG